GGGTGATTTATTGCTTTCTCTCTCTCTGGAGAGCACACATGCCTTACAGATATATTTTAACTGTGGTGTGGCCTTGCTCTACTCAAGTGAGGAGGGTTTCACCCCTTTCCCTTTTCCCTCTGGTGATCAGATGTACTAACAAGTTTTATTTAAAACAAACAAACAAACAAAGGAGCGGCCCCTTTCAGGGACTAGGACAACTGAAGATTTTCTGCCCAGACTTCACCCTCCTAACCCCGAGATCTAGAAAGACAGGCCAATCATAAGCCATCTACACTTGAACTCTGAGCAGCCCCTCTCAGCGACTGGGACAACTGAAGCTTTTAGGACAACTGAAGAATTTCTGCCCAGACATCACCCTCCTGACCCCAAGATCTAGTAGGATAGGCCAATCACAAGCCATCTACATTTGAGTTCTGAGCAGCCCCTTTCAGAGACTGGGACAACTGAAGATTTCTGAAGATTTCAGACTTCACCCACCTCACCCCAAGATCTAGTTCAGAGTAATCCTCAGTTCCCATAGAATCTGCTGCACAAAGGGAGAGAAACAGAACTGTAGCAAGATTGCAGAACACCTCCACCTGCATGCCTCTGAATGCTATTTTAACTCCAAAATAGCATTAGGAAAAAACATATAATCCATCAGATGACCAGAAGCCACAGCAGAGGCACAAGAAATATGAGAAGCCAAGAAAATATACTTCCCACAAGGGAAAAGAATAACTCCTCACCCTACACAGATAATACAATGAAAGTTGTGGAAATGTCAGGTAAAGAATTAAGAATATTCACAGTGACAAAGCTAAAAGAGAAGCAAGAGAAGAGAGACAACAAACTCCAGATGATTCAGGAGAAAAGAGAAGAGTTCCAAGAGGTGAGGAAGTTCTTACATGCTCTGAAAGAGGAAATACACACCATAAAAAGAATCAAATGGAATTATTAAAAATGTGGGCTGTAATACAGGAAATCAAAACCTCCCTTGAAAGTATTAAAAGCAGATTAGATCATGAAGAAGAATCTCAGATGAAAAAGACAGAACATCTGACCTAGCAAAATTCACCAAAAAGACTGAGAAAATAACCCCCCAAAATGAGAATAATATACAAGTAAAATCAGATACCATTAAATGTCTAAACATCTAGATAATCGGTATCCCAGAAGGTAAAGAAACTAATAAGGGCACTAATAATCTATTCCATGAAATCCTGGAAGAAAATTTTCCAAACTTAGAGAGGCATTCAAATATCCAGACCCAAGAAATACAAAGGACCCCACATAGAATCAACCCAAGAAGATCTTCACCAAGGCACGTCATAGCCAGATTGACCAAAACCACAGACAGAGACAACATACTAATATTGTCAAGAGGGAATTGTCAAGTTACTTTCAAAGGATATCCCATCAGGCTAACATCAGACCTTTCATTGGAAACATTGCAAGCCAAGGAAAGAAAGGGAAAATATATTCAAAGTGTTAAGTGAAAAACAATTTCAACCAAGAGTATTATACCCGGCACTATTACCCTTCATATGGGAATAAAAGACAAAAACATTCTCAGATAAACAAAACCTAAAAGAATTTACCACCCCAGGCCAGCTCTCCAAGAAGTTCTGAAGGAAGTGCTATACCTGGAAAACTAGTCAGACAAATAGAAATAGGAGTACAAAAATCAACCAAGAAAATGGCCAACCTAATGGTAGGAAAAACTCTAGGAAGATCAATAAGGTTGAATGTTAACTTCAAGAATTTAAATAGAAGGAACAGCAGTTAGCACAATGGCTATGTCACTGGACTCCCATGTAGTCGACCACGGTTCGAGTCCCGGACCCGGTAGTTCAAACTCATGCCGAGCGCATGTGTGTATGTGCCCAAGATCCCGAGAGGAGCATGGAGAAGGGATTGCGGTGTGACCATCCCCCCGGGGGGTGATTTCTCGCTTTCTGTCTCTCTGTCTCTCTCTGTCTGGCGAGCATACGTGCCCTATGGCAAAAACTTCTCCAAAAAAATAAAAAGATAAAAAAAAAGAATTTAAACAGAAAGATCAGACCAAAGTAACACTGCAAATTCAACAAAAGAGAGATTAATTACATGAGGGGCGGGCAAATGGCGTGGTGATTAAGGGCGCTGGACTCCCACGTGGCTGACAACAGTTCAAATCCCGGACATGGCTTGCTTTCTCACTTTTCTTCTCTCTCTCACTCTGTCCTTCTCTGGTCAAATTAAAATAAATAAAAGTTATTTGTTATCATTTATTATCATTAATGTTTCATGAGACCAGAGAGAGAGAAAGGGAAAGTAGGAAAGCAATCATCCAGGTCCAGGACTCGAACGGTGGTCAGCCATGTAGTTCAGTGCCTTAACCACCATGCCACCTGCAAACCCCAATTCAATAATTCTTTAAAAAAAAAAATTTACATGAGACTTAACTGGTGAAAGATTTTTATGACTTTTGACTAAAACATTACTGATTTTCTTCTATGCTTTATTTTCCAGATTTAAGGATTTTTGTCTTCTCTTGAACTGTAAACAGGTTCATCTACCTACTATTTGAACAGAATACTAACCATTTCCCTGGCTTTAAGTTTTAACCAAACTTCTCTTAACATTTTTAAATTTTGATCTAATAAAACTACAACTGTTTTTCTTTATATTAAAAAATGCATAAAAAGGGACCAGCAGTTGACATAATGGCTATGTTGCTGGACTCCCTTGTAGTCGACCACAGTTCGAGTCTCGGATTCGGTGGCTTAAACTCATGCCAGGTGCATTTGCATGCATCCCCAATTTCCCAAGAGGAGAATGAAGAAGGGATTGTGGCATGGTCATCCCCCCTGGAGGGTGATTTCTCGTTTTCTGTCTTTCTGACAAGTGCACGTGCCCTATAGGGAAAAAAAACCTCTCCAAAAAAAAAAAAAAAAGCATAAAACAATAAACGGATTTAATGACTGCAGTAAGCTATATAGCCCCAGCTAGGTGCTAGTTTATAGTATGCCCATTCTACTCGCAGAGGTTTATGCCTAAAGTCAGACATGTGTCCATAGATATGTATATATCAGCTGTATTTACTACTGAAACTATTTAGATTAAGATCCTTTGAGACCAGCAGTTAGCGTAATGGTTATGTCACTGGACTCCCATGTAGCCAACTGGAGTTTGAGTCCCAAACCCAGTGGCTTAAACTCATGCCAGGCGTGTGTGCATGTCTTCCCAAGATCCCAAGAGGAGAGTCGAGAAGGGATTGTGGCGTGGCCATTCCCCCTGGGGGATATTTCTCACTTTCTGTCTCTCTGTATCTGTCTTTCTGGCAAGTGCACGCGCCATATAGCAAAAACCTCTCAAAAAAAAAAAAAAAAGATCTTTAGTGAATCAATAAAATGTGTGTGGGGGGGATTGGAGCCAGCAGGTGGTGTAGTGGTTAAAGTCACTGGGTTCCCACGTAGCTGACCATGGTTTAAGTCCTGGGCCTGGCAGCTTGCTTTCTCACTTTCCATCTCTCTCTGTCTGTCCCCATCTGGTCAAATTAAAATAAATAAAGTTAAATAAAATTGTAAAAACTAAAATTTGTGAGGGAAGGCATGGAAAGCAATTGGAGATACCAGAGACAGTGTGGGAGGAGGGTGGGAAATGGCAGGGGGGAAGGTAGGGAATGCGGGGGAGCAAAATATGTTAAGCAACGAAAAATGGAAAATTATTTGTTGATGATAACACATAAGGTAATATCCTTGATTGAGCCCATATACAATGTATTCTGGATAGAAAATTTCATTTTGTATACTGTAATGATGTATAGTGAACAAATGTAAATAAATAAATTTTAAACAAAATAAATTTTAAAAAACCACAAACACACTAAAAAGAAACAAAAGTACTATAACATATGCAACTGAAGACCACTAGTATGTTCTCAATGATTAAGGGAGAAATGACAACTCTATGAGTGCTTCACAGCCCTCAGAGCCAGCTGGTGGTGTGGTGGTTAAGGTGCTGGATTCCCACACGGCCAACCGCAGTTTGAGTCCCGGAACTAACGACATGAAAATCACACCAGACACATGTGCGCTGAGTGCCACAAATCCCAGGAGAATGAAGAAGGGATTGTAGAATGGCCATTCTCACTTTACCTACCATTGTCTCTCTCTGGTGAGGACAAACACTATATGACAGAAACCTAAAAACAAATTAGAAGAAAAAAGAATACTTTACAGTTCTCTAGATTTATTAATTTTTTTTTTTTAGAGAGAGATGTTTGATACAGGGCACATACATTTGCTGGAGAGACAGAGACAGAAACTGAGAAATCCCCCCCCAGGGGGGATGTCCACGGCACAATCCCTTCTCCATTCTCCTCTCAGGATCTTGGGCACACATGCACGTGCACCTGGTGTGAGTTTAAGTCACCAGGCACAGGACTCAAACTGCAGTCGACTACATGGGAGTCTAGTGATGTAACCATTATGTCATCTGCTGGCCCAATAGACCTCTAGATTTATAATGGAATCAAGAAAAGAATGTGCTTGTAATCTTAAACCCAAATCAGAGGACTACACCTAAAATTATTTATTCGCCATTATTCTGGTTCAAAATAAAATGACAGGGAACCAGCAGTTAGCGTAATGGCTATGTCGCTGGACTCCCACGTAGTCGACCGCGGTTTGTGTCCCGGACCCGGTGGCTTAAAACTCACGCCGGGCGCGTGTGCGTGCGTGCCCAAGATCTCAAGAGGAGAATGGAGGAGAAGGGATTGCGGCGTGACCATCCCCCCTGGGGGGTGATTTCTCGCTTTCTGTCTCTTTGTCTCTCTCTCTCTGTCTGGCGAGCGCACGCGCCCTACAGTGAAAATCTCTCCAAAAAATAAAAATAAATAAAAATAAAAAATAAAAAAAAATAAAATGACAAAAATCAAGACCTAGTGAGTAATTAAAAAAAAAAAGTATATGTGTTTTTAATATTACAAGAATTAATCAAATAAACCATACAAAAATCTCCAAGGAAACATTATATATTACATGTAAGGTTTTTACTCTTTTAAGGAGACAAATCTTCCAAATATGACACTGTTACATTAGTTAAAAGGATATTTATGCTACTGGGTTACATGCTTCAATTCTTCAGGTCCCATTTTTACATCTAATCATTCTGTTCTAGTTTGCTTTAGAAAACACACTCTTAACAACAAAACTCCAAAGTGAAAATTTCCAATTCTTTCTTTTTCTTTGAAAATTTCTAATTCTGAGTTTGGTATACAGCAAAGAAAAATTTTACAAATACCTTCTAATTTCGTATTTGTGAATCTTAATAATTTCTTCCATTAAATATTTATGCTGGAGTTAAAAAAAAAAGACACTAACTCAAAAGAAAAGGTAAGGTTGCCTAACTTATTCAGCCCTTAAGTTAAAATGTACAAATTTAATAGACAATTCAGTTTCTTTCATTTTATTTTTAAGATGGCTTCATTGCTCAGGACAAAATGGTACAAATACAAGAAGCTTTCCTTAGGGTTGGTCAAGACCATTTTCATCTGCTCTCCTAAAAACTCTAGCTCAGACACCCCCTCCCCCCAAATTACATATTTGAGAAGCTAGGGGATGTAGACTCAGGGTTTTGGTAAAACAAGAAAAATCAATGAATGACTATAGTACCCTACTGTTTATAACAGCACTAGTACAAACTCAACGCTTTTAAATCAGGGAAGCTTTCACTCCATTCCTAATAAAGTGGCTTTACAACCTCCATGAAGAAAAAGAATTAGATAAAGGTGTAAACCAATTTTCCTCCTTTAGAGACACTGTGAGAGAGAGGATGAATTATTTTTTTGTAAACTTCCTTTTCAGATCTGCAGGCTTCACGGTACGCCAGAGCCCCAATATTCAAGCAGTTCGTGGCAAAAAATGAAAGTGAAAAAGTAGACGCAGAGATCTGTGAAGACTTCACCCATTTTGCTGTAGGTCTCCATTGACCGATTTATCACTTCCGCAGGAATTCCAGATAACAGAAGTGCAGCTGTGAGTACTGTTGTCTTTACCTTCTTCTCACCCTACAGAGGAAGACTGCAATCATTATCTTACAGCTTTTGGCAGACCACATTAGCACTATAAAAATATGACCAGTAGGGATATTTTTGTCTAAATGATTTCAAAACTGCTGATGAAATTTCATAATAGTATGTCAATATTCACTGAGCATATAATACACAAATCAACTCAATAGTAGACACCATGCTTGCTACTGAAAGTTTTCGAAATGTCATCTCGGGAACCAGCAGACGGCGTAATGGTTACATCACTTGACTCCTACGTGGTCTACTGTGGATTAAATCCTGGACCCAGCAGCTTGAAACTCACACTGGGTGCTTGTGCGTGCATGCCCAAAATCCCAAGAGAACGGAGGAGACGTGATCATGCATGGCCATGCCCCACGGAGGGTGACTTCTTGGTTTCTGTCTCTCTCCAGTGAGAGCATGTGCCCTATGCAAAAATCTTTTTTAAAAAAAAAGTCATCTTGGGACCAACAGATAGCATAATGGTTACATCACTGGACTCCCACATGGTTGACCGCAGTTTGAGTCTCAGACATGGTAGCTTGAAACTTGAAACTCACGTTTCAAGTTTGTGTGTGTGTGTGTGTGTGTGTGTGTGTGTCTGTCTGCGCCTTAAATCCCAGGAGAACAAAGAAGGGACTGCAGTGTGGCCATGCTCCCAGGGGGTGATTTTTTACTTTTTTTCTCTCTGTCTCTGTTTCTTTAGAAAAAAAATAATCAAGTCATCTCAGTGGAGCTAGCAGGTAATATACTGGTTAAGGTGCTGGACTCCCACAGAGCTGACTGTGGTTTGAGTCCCAGACCCAGTAGCTCGAGAATCATACCAGGCATGTGGGCATATATGCCCCAAATCGCAAGAGAATAGAGAAGAGATTGTAACATGACTATCCCCCCTCCCCCCCGTGGGGGTGATTCCTCACTTTCTGACTCTCTGGCTAGTGCATGCACCCTATAGCAAAAAATCTCTAAGATTCAAAAAAAAAAGTGGTGGTTAAGTCACTGGACTCCCACAAGGCTGACTGCGGTTCAAGTCCTAGACATGGTGGCTTGCTTTCTCACTTTCCCTCTCCCCAAATTAAAAATTTAGTAATAAAAAAATCTAAAATTTTATTTTTTAAAGAATTATTTTATTTATCATCACTATTATTATCTTAATTTGATCAGAGAGAGAGAAAGAGTAAGAAGGCAAGCTACCAGTCCAGGTTTTGAACTGCAGTCAGCCATGTGGGAGTCCAGTGCCTTTAACCACACCACCTGCCGGCCCTAGTTTACAATACTTTCTGGGGGAGAAAGAGAACATTTATTTCCTAATATAATTTTCTTTCTTCTTTTTTTTCTTAATCTTTTATTGGGTACATTTGAGGTTATTTCCTAATATAATTTTCTAGTATAATTTTTTTTCTAGTATAATTTTTAAAGAAATTAACAATTGAGTTTTTATTAAATTTATTGATTTGTATCACCAAATCCAGTCACATTGTTTGGAAAATTCAAAACTGGGGACCAGCAGTTAGCATAATGGCTATGTCACTGGACTCCCATGTAATCGACCGCAGTTCGTGTCCCAGACCCAGTGGCTTGATCTCATGCCCGGTGCGGGTGGGTGCGTGCCCAAGATCCCGAGAGGAGAATGGAGAAGGGATTGCAGCGTGGCCATCCCCCCCTGCGGGGTGATGTCTCACTTTCTGTCCCTCCATCTCTCTCTGTCTTTCTGGTGAGCACATGCACCCTAGAACAAAAAGACATTTCCAAATAAAGTAACCCTGGCATAAAGAGCCGGGGAGTCATGTACCGGAGTGCTAGACTCCCACATGCCTAACTCAGGTTTGATTCCCAGACCAGGTGGCTTGAAAATCATGCTGGGTGCACGAGTGCATACTCAAAACCCCAGGAAGAAGACTCTGCAATCATACGTGGCTGACTGCAGTTCCTAGGGCCAGCAGCTGACTTGGTGGTTAAGGTGCTGGATTCCCACATGCCCGACCATGGTCCAAGTCCTGGACCTTGGAGGCTTGCTTTCTCACTCTCTCTCTCTAGTCAAGTTAAAAATAATAACAAGAAATAAAATTAATCATTTTTAAAAATAATTACTTTATTTATTTATTTTGGTTTGACCAGAAAGGAACAGAGAGAGACAGAGGGAGGGAAAGTGAGAAAGCAAGCTGCCTGGTCTGGGACTCAAACCGCGTTTGGCCATGTAAGAGAACAGTGGCCTTAACCGCCATGCCACCTGCCAGCACCAAATAATTTTTTAAAAAGAAAGAAAGAAGAGAGAAACTCACACCAAGCATATATGTGTATGTGCCCAAAATTCTGAGAGGAGAATGGAGAAGGGATTGCAGCATGGCCATCCTCCTGGGGGGTGACTTCTCTTACTGTCTCTGGCAAGGGCACACACCCTATGGTAAAAACTTTTTTAAAAAATAATTAATTAAAAAATAAACACTGGGGGGACCAGCAGTTGGTGTAATGGCTATGTGGCTGGACTCCCAGGTAATCAACGGCGGTTTGACGGTCCCAATTCAAGCTCTGAGACCCGGCACCTTGAATTCATGTCAGACATGTGTGCGGGCATGCCAAAGATCCCAAGAGGAAAATGGAGGAAAAGGGACTTTGGTGTGGCCATCCCCTCTGGGGGGGTGATTTCTCACTTTCTGTCTCCCTCTTTCAGGCAAGCGCACACGCCCTATAGCAAAAACCTCTCCAAAAATAAATAAATAAATAAAAACAAATACACACTGGCGGTTGGCAGGTGGTGTGGTGGATAAGGGCGCTGGACTCCCATATGGCCTGCTGTGGTTTGAGTACCAGACCTGGCAGCCTGCTTTCTCACTTTCCCTCTCTCTCTCTCTTGTTCTGTCCCCCTCTGGTCAGATTAAAATAAATAAGTTAAACAAAATAAAACTTTTTTTTGAGAGGTTTTTGCTATAGGGTGCATGCGCTCACTAGAAAGAGAGAGACAGAGAGCAAGAAATCACCCCCCAGAGAGGATGGCCACACTGCAATCCCTTCTCCTCCATTCTCCTCTCAGGAT